TGAAAGAATGAAGCCTCACGATGATAAAAAAAAGATTTATTTATTTATGCATGTGAGAACTGGGGAACAGGACAGAGGTGAGAGTGGGAGTGGTGAGAGGACTCACCAGAGACAGAGTGGAGAACAGAACAGGAGTATTGACTGAAATATGCTGCTGAGGGGAGCAGTGGGTGGGACAGGAGAGGCTGCTGCACCTTCTGGGTCAGCTCCCTGGGTGGGATTGAATTTGTGCCATGCTGCAGTGCCTGTGGGCAGCTTCATAGTGCTGTGCTTTAACCCGTGGTACCACCAGGGAGGCCCCATCCTAAATTTTCAATAATGTGCACTAACCACTAAATGCCCAGGGTGGGCAAATTTCTGGTGGGAACTGCAGAAGGGGCTCACCTTTGCCCCGGGGAAGCACACAGCCTGCCTGAGTGTAGGAATCAGAGGCAGAGGCGCTCACAGACGGTATGTGGACGGCTTCCATTCTCACAGACCCTTGCATTGATGGTGGGCTTGGGGTGAGTCTTGGCCAAACACAGACCGTTATCATAGAAGCAGTCGCCAGCCAACATCTGTGTTCAATCACAAATAAATGAGTTTGGAATGAAAAGCAAAAGCAGCCCGCATGTTCATTTTTGGCGCTGCTCGAGGTGACATTTCAGAGCTGCAGACTCTGGCCTGTGAGGTCACACTCGTGCTTGAGGTGTGTGCCTGGCCTTGGAGTGTCCCCTCCCATGGGGATTCAGCTTACACGCAGCCATGGCAGACAGAGAGCCCTGTCTCCCCTTGACTGCAATTCACACCCCCAAAATAAAGACAGTGTTCTTTCAAACACCTCCAACTTTTCTAGGGTCCCCTTTGTTTTCTAATGAGTTTTGCAGGACCCCTCTTTGCCTTTTCCACTTTCCTCTTTCATGATAGTTGGGTTGAGACAGCTCGAACTACCTAGTATCACCTAGAATCCTATAAAATGCAGATTATGATTCAGTAGATGGGGGTGGGGCTGGTCTGCATTCCCACTGTATCACAACCTGCCATGTGAGCCATTGGCCCTCTGTGGCTACAGTGTGAGTCTGCCCTCTGGGCCCTTCTGTCTGTTCCATCCAGGGAGGACAGGGTCTCCCCACGGGTGGTCCTGGGCCATCTGCATCCGAGTCTCCTGGGGTGCTGTGAAAACACAATCCCTGGGTTTCAACCAGCTTATAATATGGGGGAAGACACCTGCATCTGCAGCTTTAAGTCCAAGGTGACTGCGCACGGAAGGACTTCGGTGCAGATCCGAGAAACACCTGCCACCGCGGAGTCCAGCTCATGGTTGGCACTGCCGTGCGCATGCGCTCTTCTTTTTAGGTCTCCAGGTTTTGGCCTCCTGGTTCCTGGAAATAGGACAATTGTTCACTTCAGATCTTGGCAGAAAGAAGCCCTGGAGGGGACTGCTTTTCAAAGGCGGGACAACCAAGGAGCAGATTGGAAGGGGCGGAGTGGGAAAAGACACTCTCACCCTGCGTGGCTTCATGGGGCTTCCCTTGGGACCCATCTCAGCCCTGGACACCCAGCAACGCCCTGAGCCAGCTATGAGCCATGAATCTGCGCACCATGCAGAGCCGGCAGGTGGCACCCAGGATGGCGGGAGACCCTGGATGTCCACACTGGATACGTCCGCGGGGTAGCAGCGGTGCTCGAGAGGGCAGCGACTCCAGTTAGATCCTCGGTGCACCAGGCGGGGGACGGGAGCTTAGCACAGCAGATACTGCTCCTGCCCGAGTCCCCAGCTGGATCCTCTGCCCGAAAAATGTAGGTGACAAATCATGTACAGATCTAGCCACACGAGCAGATGGGGCGGTCCCCTTGACACTCACACCTGGTGGCTGCTGAAACCCCAGAAAGACAAGGCAATTAGGAGAGAAGCCCGCTGGCTTCACAGGTGCATTGCCCTTGCCGGCGGAGACTTTTCCTCCATGGTTAACCTGAAGGAATGACTTGTCTTCCAAGAGGGTTCTCTGCTGGCTCAGTGTGAGCTATCGAAGAGGGTTTCCACTTTCCTTTCAATGCCGACAATGATAACGACCCAAATAATTCCCCCAACTCCGCCAGCACCCACAGCACCCTTCACGTGCGAAAGGACTGGAGCTTTGCAGAGCGCCCTTACTGAGTGCCTGAGCTTCGGGTGAGGAACAGCACCTCCCTCTTCCACTCCTGCCTTGCTGGTGCAGGCAGGGAAGCTTCTGGAAGCTGCAATACTTGGAGTGAGCCCTGGAAGCTGAGCAGGAAAATCTACCAAGGTAGGAGCTCTTTCCCACCGGGGGCCTGGAAGCTGAACAGCATTGCTTGCACTTAGGATATCTGCTGGCCACAGGGAGATGAGACTCAGGGAGCAGATGGGAAAAGACCTGTGTCTTGCCAAGAGGCTTGGCTCTCTTACCCTGCCCCCACCCCAGCCCTATAATGCCTTACAAAACAGCTTTTAG